AGTCTCCTCTCCTTCTGTTTGTCTTCTCTCTCCTCCCTATCCTCCTCTTGCTCCTCTCTGATGTGCGACGACGAAGGCAATTTGTCTTCATTGTCGGTCGGCAACAACAAGATCGCAAGGATCCCCTCCTCCATCGCCTCCTGCAAGAAACTCAACGAGCTGTCAGCTGGCAGCAACCTGATTTCTCAACTTCCGCCTGAGGTTGTTTGACCTTCCATCCTCCTCCTTCCTCCATTCCTCCCTCCACCCATCTCGATCTTCTTCCCTTTTCGCTCGTCTCTCGTCCTCTGACTGTACCTTCAGATCGCTCAGGTCCACTCGCTCACCAAGCTTGTCCTATCGCAGAACAAGTTGGCTACCTTGCCCGACTTCCTCTTCGATCTTGAAAAACTCGAGACTTTGGTAGGACAGAGAGGAAAGAGAATTCAAGTAACGGAAGGGGCAGGATGTCGCCGACAACGAGCTGGAACAACTTCCTCCTCCTGTCTCGCGCCTCAAGGCCTTGACCAACCTCTTCATACAGGTACTCCCTTCCCCTCCCCTCCCTTCCCCTCCCCTCCTCCCCTTCCTCCCCTCTCATGTGCTCGTCCCGTTGCTCTGGTTCCTCTTCGTTGCCTTCCTCAGAGTCTGGCAGGGCAACAAGATCGTTGAGCTGCCTGAGACTCTCCGGGACCTTCAGAACATCAAGAGAATCACCTTGACAGGAAACCCGATGGACCTTCAGGACTCGCGATACCTCCAAGTCTCTACTGCCTCTCCTCCCTCGCTCCTTCTCCTCCCTCGCTCTCTCCCCGTCGTCTCCTTGTTTGCTCTCCTCCCCCTCCTCCTCGTCCTCTGCTTACTTGTATCGAGCAGCTGTCGGGTGACTTGCAGACACTTTGCGAGGCCAATGGCGGACGTTTCACAGGTCCCTCCCCTTGCTCTGAGTGTGGCGGCTAACAAGCGTGCGAAGGAGCGGAAAAGGCTGAGGGAGGAGGAAGCAAGCTCAAGGGGTTGGGCAAGTTCAAGCTCGGTGCGACTATTGACTTTCATAGATCACACTCATCTACTTACAGGAACATGAGAAGACATGAATGCTCCTCCTCCTTCTCCTCCTCCTTCTCCTCTGCTACATACTCTTACAATCTCCTCTTCCCCGACTAGTTAACCGCACTAGGAGGCGCTGGTCGATTCGCTAGATTACATTCAAGTGATGACGTCAACCGAGAAACCACACAGGATGTTGACGAGGATCCGTCTTGACCTGCAGACCAAACTCATCAACTGCCTCACTCAGCACTTCCCTCCCTTGCCCTCCCACACTCCCTTCCTCCTCTTCCCCCTTCTCCCTCCCTCCCTCCCCCCACGCCCTTCACCTTGGGGAACTTTCGGTGGAATAGCTCGATGAACTGCTGGTCCGCTCTCCTACCTCAAGGGTCAAGATTGACCACAACTCAGCCTCTTCCTTTCCTCTCCTCTCCTCTCCTCTCCCTCCCTCCCTCCCTCCCTCCCTCCCTCTCTTCTTCTCTCGCTTCTCTCTAACTCTCTGTTCTTCTTCACTCCCTTCTCTCTCTCCTCTTCTTCTTCACTCCCTTCTCTCTCTCTTCTTCCTCTTCTCTCCCTTCTCTCTCACCTAGCCTTGTTCCCGGCAAACCTCCTGTACTCGTCGAAGATGGCAGCCATCGACCAGTGATTCATCGCCCGCAGGCAGCCGACCAAACTTCCCGTCCTGTGCTTCCCCTGCCCCTCCCTCAGCGTCGGGCGAGGAGAGGACGGGAACTCTACCTGGTTGCAGTGGATGAGGATGGGGTGGAAGCTAACGTCTAGAAGTCGCTGCAGTGAAGTAAGTAGCGCAGAGAGAGGGAGGAGAAGGAGGAGGAGGAGGAGGAAAGAGCAGATGAGAGCGATGGAGTGGGGGGGGGGGAGCGACCTGCAATGCTGAGTAGATCATCTCGTCGCTGATGTCTACGAAAGGCTCTTTGTTGCCGCTGACTCCATGCTGCAAGACTCTCAGCAGCAACTAGTGGAGAAGGGGGGGGGGGGGGAGGAGAAAGCAAGGAGAGGAGAGGAGGCGAAGAGGAGCATGAGGAGGGGACCTGGTAGACTGTAATGCCCTCCTGACGATAGAACTGGAGGACCTACCGCATCATCAATCGAGCAAGGGAGCAGAGGGCGGGAGCAGTGCTACCTGACGGGAGTACTCCTCCTGACAGAGGTAAACGACGCTCTTGAGCCCGAGCTTGGCGAGGAAGTCAAAGTTCTTCTTGGTGGGATACCTGCAGTCGTGTTGCTACTTCAGGAGGCCTCCTCGAGTTAAGCGAAAGGTGGGAGAGGAAGGGATGAAGGGGATGCGAACGGCATGTAGGAGTGGAGAAGAGAGGAAAGAGAAGGGAGGAGACGAGACGAGGTGAGGATAGGGGAGAGGAATGGAGGCGCGACAAGAGGAGAACAAAAGGAGGAGAGAGGAAAGGAAACGAGAAGAGGGGTAAAGAGGAAGAAGATCTCACGCGCTGCGATAGATGCCCTTTTCGACCATCGCGAAGTTCTTTGGAGGGTAAAGCTTCTCATAGTGAGATGACGCAAGGAGGAAGAGGCAGGGCAGAACCTCGTCCGGCATGTCGGCGTTGAGGTCTTGACTTGACACGAGGTCGACGTTGCGCGGCTCGAGCGCGAGCCTGGCAGGTGTTAGAGGAAGAACGAGGATTCGAGGAGGAGGCGGAGGCGAGGAGGAGGAGGACACGTACGATTCGAGCAGGTCGACATACTTGGGAGGGCTTGCCTCTCTCCCGTCTGCCCCACCGCTCTTACTTGTCGGTTGTTTCGTCACTCGCGCCCCCTCTGCTCGCTCGCTCCCTTCCTCCTCCTCCTCCTCCTCCCCTGGTGACCCATCAGTCTCGGTCCTCCCCTCCTTCTCCGTCAACCTTCATCTTCTTCTTCCTCAAGAGGAATCTTCTCCCTGAGATCGGGATTCGCTTGTCCTCCCAGTCGCTCCCTCCTGACTGACATGCCGGCAGCTGACCAGAAGCAGAGAGACCTGAAACAAGCAGTGTGAACACCAAGCAAGGAGTCAACACTGCTGCTCTTACACCACCATTCCCCTCTCCCCCTCCCCCTCCCCCTCCCTCTCCCCCTCCCTCTCCCTCTCCCTTAATCGCATTTTGTTTTTCGCGTCTACCACCCTCACGACCACCCCTACCCCCTCTGATTCCTTTTTTCACCCCACCCTCGGGTGAACATCCTAACAGGACTAGGGGAAGCGGCGATGATGCAGGAGGGGAGGAGCGGAGGCGAGCGAGGGGAGCGGGCGGGGGAGGCGCTAGAGCAGATTCTAGGGGAGGGAGGGAGAAGGGAGGCGCTCGAGCAGATCCTTGGCATGACCGGAGACAACAAGGCGCTCGTGATCGACCCCTCCTTGTCCGGACCCCTTGGCCGAGTCCTCGACCTCAACCTGCTGAAGCAGCACGGGGTGGAGAAGACGATGCACCTCCGTACGGGTCCGCTGGGCATCTCGCAATGCAGAATCATCTACATCGTGCGCGCCAACCTGCCCAACATGAAGATGATCGCCGAGCAGATCCGGCACCTGATGCAGGACGTGCGCAGGTTCGAGTACAGAGTCTGCATGTTCCCAAGGAAGACCACCATGTGTGAGCGGGTGCTGGAGGAGGAAGGAGTCTTCGACGACATCTCCCTCACCGACTTCGACCTTGGCTTCATCCCCATCGACGATAACCTCATCTCTCTGGAGATGAGCGACGCCTTCCGGGAGGTACCTCCTCCTCCTCCTTGTCCTCCCATACCCCTCCCCTCCCCTCCTCCTTGACCTCCCCTGACTCGCTTATCCTCAGCTCAAGCTCCACCAGGACATGACCAACCTCTTCGACGCCGCCAAGGCGATCATGCAGCTGCAAGTGCTCTGCGGCATCATCCCTGTGATCAAGGGCAAGGGAGAGAACGCTAAGGTGGTGGCGGACATGCTGATAAAACTGAGGGAGGAGGTGGGACGAGAGGACGAGGTGGTCGAATCAGAGCTCACGATCGACGAGCTCATCCTCGTGGACCGCGAGCTGGACCTGGTGACGCCCATGCTCACTCCTCTCTCCTACGAGGGGCTCATCGACGAAATCTTCGGCATCCAGCATGGCTTCGCTGCCCTCCCCTCAGAGCTCGTGCCGGGAGCAGGCAACCAGTGGAACCAGCGGGACAACGAACAAGCTCGAGTGAAGGTGACACAGAAGCTCAGCCTCCTCCCTCCCTCCCTCCCTCCCTCCCCACCT